TTAGAGAGATAGAAACATCAATGTGAGAGAGAAACATTGCCTCCTGCATGCCTCCTATTGGGGATCAAGCCCACAGCCCGGGCATGTTCCCTGACTGGGAATCGAATCGGGACCTCTCAGTCCATGGGACGATGCTCAATTTACTGAGCCACACCAGCTAGGCAAATAAATTTATTTTAAAAGGAAACTTTATGTCATTGTTATTGTTATCATTACTTTGACCCATCAATCTTTCTCGGTTAACAAATGAGGAACTAGGTTCCTAATTTTGCTTTGTCATTTACCACATTTGAGCTAGTTGCTCAACCTCTCTGAGCCTTGGGTTCTCATTCTTAAACTGCCGCACGAGATTGTTGGGAGGTGGAGAGAGGGCACAGAGAATGGTGGCACAGCCCTGGCCGATGTGGCTCGGTTGAGCATCGTCCTGTGCGCTGATGGGTCACCAGTTCGATTTTCGGTCAGGGCACACGTCCAGGTTGTGGGTCGGTCCCCAGTTGTACAGGAGACAACCAATCGATGTTTCTCTCTCACTTTGATGTTTCTCTTTTTCCCTCTCCCTTCTTCTCTCTCTAGAATCAGTAAAAACATTATTTATTTATTTTTTCTTTATTGAATTTAGAGAGAGAGGAAGCGAGAAGGAGAGGGAGAAAGAAACATTGATGAGAGAGAACATCGATTGGCTGCCTCCTGCATGCCCCCCACTGGGGATCAGGCCCACAACCTGGGCATGTGCCCTGACCAGGAATTGAACCAGTGACCTCTTCGTGCATGGGTCAACGCTTAACCACTGAACCACACCGGCCGGGCATAAAAACATATTTTCAAAAAAGGTAGCTTAGAGCTGTGCCTTCAAGAAGTCTCTGGACAAGTAGCAGTTATTCTTATGCCCCTGTGGTGCTTTCTTAATCTCTCAATCTTCTCTACTTAACTCTGTGGTTTTTGATTTTTTTTCTAATGAGAGGAGGGAGATGTGGACTTCTTTGAGAATTTGTCATTTGTGGACACCCAAACTCAGATGGTTCATAGACCTCTTCTGACATTAAGGGTGAAAACTTAATCCAGACCTAACCCAATCAGTCATTCTCGCCTGCCTTTCTCTTCCTCTCCTTCTCTCCTCCTCCTCCTTTCTTGTACCTGTTTAGCCCTGTCAGCTCCCAGCTAGCTGCCTTTAGCTTATACTTTTTAAAACAACTTCATTCTAAGGGCATTCTCAACAAAGACAACTACACTCTAGGATTCCGAAGCTGAGGGCATGCTATCACTTAAATTTCCTAAGCATCAATCTCCTTTTCTGTGAAATGGGTAGAGAGGATTAATTAAAATAACATTATTGGTTGATAGCACTTTGCTATCAACACATAATCTCATTTAATCCACACAATAATGCTGTGAGGTAGATTTTCCATTCAAGTCAGTCAATATTTATTGAGCGCCTACTATGTTCTAAGCAGTTTTAGCCACAGTGATGCCTCATGGATCTTATGTAATGGGAAGAGAGGATTAAAAACATCAACACTACCCCTAGCTGGTTTTGCTCAATGGTTAGAGTGTTGGCCTAAGGACCAAAGGGCACATACTGTACCTGGATTGCAGGTTTGATCCCTAGCCCCAGTTGGGGTCGTGTGGGAGGCAACAAATTGATGTGTCTCTCTCACATCGGTGTTTCTCCCTCCCTCTCTCTCTCAAAAAAAATCAATTGAAAAATATCCTCAGGTGATGATTAACAAAAATAAATAAATAAAATAAAAACAAACATTAAATAAGGTCATTTCAAATTGTGATAAATGCTATAACAAAAATAAAACAGCCCTGGCTGGGTAGTTCAGTTGGTTAGAGTTGTCCCAATATGCGAAGGTTGCAGGTTCAATCCCTGGCCAGGGCACATACAAGAATCAACCAATGAATGTATAAATACGTGGAACAACAAATCGATGTTTCTCTCTTTCTCAAAAAAAAAAAAAAAAAAAAAATCAATAAAAATAAAACAGAGCTAAGGAAAGTCATTTAGGTCATCTCATGGCACACATAAACTACTAAAAATCTGCGGTACACCAACTAATATATTTTTTGCCTATCTGACAAAAAAATAATAGGTATAATTTTGATTCATTCACACCAGACGGCTGTTATTATGTTGACTGTTTTCATTTTTTATTGGACAATCTAAGGGAAAAGAGGTCAGCGCCCCTTACTAAATAGTCAGGTATTGCATGTTTTAAAAAGTGTTGTGTTATCCTGGCCAGTTTGGCTCCGCTGTTCGAGCGAGCGTCAGCCCTTGGACTGAAGGGTCATGGGTTCGATATCCGGTCAAGGTCACGTACCTGGGTTGTAGTGTCGGATCCCTGGCCCCAGTCAAGGTCATGCAGGAGGCAACCAATTGATGTGTGTCTCTCACATCGATGTTTCTGTCTCTCTCTCCCCCTCCCTCCCTTCCACACTATCTAAAAATTAATGGAAAAATATCCTCGGGTGAGGATTAACAACAACAAAATGTCTTATGGCACACTGGTGTGCCACGGCTGATTGAGGTTATTACCTGGATACAATTTACATAAATTCATAAAGTATCAAAGTATTTATTAGTTACTCTTTGATTTTTATGTAGCTTTTTTCCTGGTAAGTACGGAAGCGGCTGCTCTCCCTGTGCATTACAGAATGCTGCAATCTGCCCGCTTTAGACAAAGGGCCTCAGAGGATGGCTGGCCTGATATCCTTAAATTGTTAGTGGGATTTAATCCAACTTCAGGGCAATCTGTGAAAGGTGTGGATTTTGAACCTCAGATACCATTCTCTGGAGCTGGCCGTCTTCCACTTGTATGACTATATTTGAGGAAGGCGAGTCCAGCTTGTGAGACCCAGAAAGATGCCATCCCTAAGCAAATAACCAACTGAACATGTTTGAAGGATGTGAAACAAAGATGAATATAGTCAATTCAGAAAAATGAGCCCATTGGGGAAGAGAACAGTGGCTACAGCTGTGCAGAACAAACTGCCCAGATGGAGGGTTTCATAGTCTCCTTACAGCAGGACACAGTATCCCTTTACCAAGGCAATGAATTTTCCCTAATAACTGCTGCTTAAAAAAACAAACCCTACTGAACATGAATAAGCCTCACAAGAAATCTGTCAAGTAGGAGGAAACAATGTTAGTGAGTTTAAATAACACAACCTGCAGTCATGGTTAGCACTGGTAGAATTGGGGATTGGAGCTCAGGTTGTCACTGATTCCCCAACCCAGTGTCCTTTACACCCATCATCCAACCAATCTCAGATGCTGCCTACTTGGTAAAATAGAGTGGCAGAGCCAGGCCAGCAAAGGCCTAAGGGGAAGCTCTCCACCCCCCAGTATTCCTCACTCAACACACTATCCAGCCTGAAGAATCTCACTTGACCATTCTGTGAAAGTAAGGCCTCTTTTTTTCTGTTGAGGACAAGATAGTTGGTGGGTTTGTTTTTCCCACTTGTCTTTCAGTTAAAAAAAATTTTTTTTCTTTATTGATTTTTAAAGAGAGAGGAAAGGAGAAGGAGATAGAAATATTGATGAGAGAAAACATCAATTGGCAGCCTTCTGCATGCCCTGCACTGGGCCCACAACCTGAGCATGTGCCCTGACCAGGAATCGAACTGGCGACCTTTTGGTGCACGGGTCGACACTCAACCACTGAGCCACACCGGCCGGGCATCTTTCAGTTTTTTAAATGACTCTAGTACCAGCCAACCTGGGATTGCTCTTTTCCAAAATTAAAATAACTAGCCCATATTTGTTGCAAACACTCAGAAGGGTGAATAGCAGAAAATGAGAGCTTCTCTGCCTATCTTTCTCCCCTAATACAGCCTTAAACTTACTTCTGGGCCGAATGAGATGGGTCTTTTAATTCTTCTCACAGGGGGCATTATAGTGCTGGCAAAAGAGCTAGGGAGTCCTCAGGTTTTCAGGCAATACTCTGGGCTAGCCTAACTTTAGTAATAATTAGTTCTGTTTTTAACAAACCTTCATGGACTGTCACCTGTGTGCTAGGTGGTGTTGATCCAAGATGGACAAAACAGCCTCTGACCTAGGGTGTTGAACACCCTTGTGTAAACCAAGGATTGCAGTGACAATCCCCTAATGAACACATACAGAGTACCATTTTAAGAAGTGGTTAAGCCCTGGCCGGTTTGGCTCAGCAGTTAGAGCATTGGCCTGCAGTCCGGAGAGACCCGGGTTCGGTTCCCGCTAAGGGCACGTACCTCGGCCCTGGTTGGTTGTGCAGGTGGCCACCACTCGATGTGTTCCTTTCACATCGATGTTTCTCTCTCTCTCTCTGTTCCTCTCTCTCCCTCCCACTCTACCTGAACAAAAAATGGAAAAATGTCCTCGGGTGAGGGTGATAAAAACAACAAACAAACAAAAAAGAAGTGGTTAAAAACTTTCTTTTTAATCAGAAAGACACAGACATAGTTAACTGGTCAGAGAAGTAGTCGTACATTCAAGTGTAAGAGTTCTTTACTTTGAAGATCAGCCTGACTCAGGCGGTGGAGGGGTGGGGTGGACCCTCTCCAGAAGGTCCTTGCAGCATGCGGTGTTTCTCTTCATTCTAGTTATTGAGATCTCCTTGGGTACCATGCGCAAAATGTTCCACATCTTCCCAAGTATATGCCAAGTCAGTTAGTCAGCAATTCTGCTTTAAGAATCGGCTCGTTTTCCATTGCACCAATGCTACATTTTCAACATGGAAGGAATTTACAATGTAAAAGCATTTGCTGTGTAGAGGAGGGAGACTCGAGGGCTAGGACTAGAATCCATTCCCCTCATACCCAATTTGATGCCTTTTCCATTACACCCCATGACTGAATCTTAGGGCACCACATGGATGGTCATTAATCTTGTATGGACTTTTTATCCACGATTGATGATCTCAACTGGATTGTGCCAGCAGCAGAGATTTATCGTTGGACAGGTCAGTTACTGCATTTTATAAATAAACAGCCCAGTGTGACAAGACAGAAAAATAAATTGAATACTTACCTGGCAAGGGAGATACCATGACCAGGAAGGTGGTTTTTCCAGGGTGAGACTTATCCATTGCACTTTGGATGTGCTGACCCCGGCAGTTTCCCCAAATGTGGGAAACTCGGCTGCATAATTTGTGGTAGTGGGTGACTATGTACCCACTCTCTCCTGGGAAAAAATGGACAATTGACACCTTGACAAGTGTCAGGTGTGGAGGGAGGGGCACAAAGCAGAGGGGTGGGAACACAGTAGGGATGGCTTCTCAGCAGTGTATGAAAGTGCATTTGAAGAAACAACTTTTTTTTTTAAGAAGAAGAAGAAGAAGAAACAACTTATATTTTCTTTTTCCAGAGCAGGGAACTGGAGGTCTCTCTGCTTTCCTGCATGGAGCAAGAGGTTAGGTATATTGGCTAATTTGCTGCTGGAGATCTGACTAGGATCTCATCTAATCTAATCAAACAAGATGTAATCGTTGCTGGTTTTTTTTTTTTTTTAATTAGTGTTTATTTTTTATCCTTACCTGAGGACATTTTTGCATTTATTTTCAGATAGAGTGGGAGGGAGAGAGGAAGGGAGAGAGAGAGAGAAACATCCACCTGAGAGAGACACATCAACTGGCTGCCACCCACACAACCCCAACCGGGGTGGGGACAAACTGCAACGAATGTACGTGCCCTTAGCAGGAACCAAACCCGGGACTCTCTGGTCTGCAGGTCGACGCTCTAACCGCTGAGCCAAACCAGCCAGGGCTATTGCTGGTATTTTTTAAAAATTGAATTTATTGGGGTGACATGGGTTAACAAAACCCAACAGGTTTGCTTGGCTGGTGTGGCTCAGTGGGTTGAGCATTGACCCATGCACCAAGAGGTTGCTGGTTTAATTCCTGGTCAGGGCATGTGCCCAGGTTGTCACTTGATCCCCAGTGAGGGGCGTGCAGGAGGCAGCCAATGGATGTTCTCTCTCATCAATGCTTCTATCTCCCTCTAAAATCAATAAAGAAAAAAATGTAAAAAAAAAAAAAAAAAGTAAATTTATTTAAAAAATAAAATAAACCATACAGGTTTCAGGTGTACAACTCAGCATCATCTGCATACTGCATGGTGTTCCCATCACCCAAATAGTCTCTTCCTGTCCCCATTTATCCCCCTTTGCTCTCTTCCACCTCCCTCACTCTTCATTGTTGGTATTTTAAATCTGTATTCAACTGTTGTTCTTTTTAGTAGTAATAATAGTAATAGCAAAATTTAGTGCTTCTAGGATTAGAGTTAGTGCCCTCAAGGGTGGTGTCTTGGACTGGTCTCAGGCCCTACTGCTTCAGAGAAAACAACCATTCATTCATTCATTCATTCATTCATTCACCAGACACGGTTTGGGGGGAAATCGAGACACAGGCTACTACCTCATGTAGCTAAGCTGTTTTACTTTTCACAAATCCCTCTCTCTCTCTGGGCCTCAATTCTTCGACCTATTCAGAGATGTGTGCTCACAGTGGACCTAGACTATTTAGATTCAAATTCCAGGTTCCTTCACCTCCTTCCTGGTACGTGACCACATGCAAGTTAATTTGGTTTCCGTGTGCCTCAGTGTCCTCGTCGGTAAAGTAGGGATAACGTAACTTGTTTCATCGGGTTGTGTTGAGGGTGAAATTAAGGTAGCGCTCAACCTAGGGTGGCGCAGTCGTTAATGCCTGCTGATTCCCGGAGCTGTGGACCAGCCCGGGAACCACTGACAGGTGTTAATTAGGGCGTGGCTCGGAGCCCCCCACCCCCAGAGGTGGGGGATTAGGATTTATAAAGCCAGAGTCTGGCGCTGTGGCCTCATTCCGTCTGGACTAGACACCGGAGAGGTCTTCAGGCTTTGGCTCCGCACACCGAGGGCCAGGAGCCGGGCTGCCCGAAGCAGCCAGCGCGGAGCCAGCGCTCCGGGACCTAGCGGCCCCAGCTCTCGTTGCGCGCGGCTGCGGAGCGGGCACTGGGGACCCGGCCCCCCGGTCCTGGGGGCGGGGCCTGCAGCCGCCCTTGTCCCTGCGCCCCGCACCTCCCCATCCCGCCGAGGCCCGGAAGGGGCCAGTAGCGCTTCCGTCTCCGCCGGGGATGCACGGAGGGCGGAGCTGCGGCCCGAGGACGCAACGCGAGCCCAGTTCCGGCGAGGAGGCCGCGCCAGTGACAGCGATGGCGGCGGAGTCGGCGCTCCAAGTTGTGGAGAAGCTGCAGGCGCGGCTGGCCGCGAACCCGGACCCGAAGAAGGTGAGCGAGTGGGCAGTGCGTAGCGGGGCGGGCGTTGGGCGGGCGCGGCCCCGTAACGGTCGTGGGCCCCGGCGCGGGCCCCTCCTGCTCGGCTAGGGTCGTGGGGGCTCGGACCCAGAGCCAGGCCCCGCCGCGTTCGCAGCCCGGAGTCGGGAAGTTCGCGGCCATTGGCTGCTGCCCACGCGGTGGCACCCCGCACGTCGAGTGGCGGCCTCGGCGCGCCGGCGCCTCCCTGCCTCCCTGCCTCCCGGGCCCGGGCGCCCGCGGCGGACAGGGTCGCGCACTGAGCGGACACCGCGTGTCGGCGGGGCTCCCCGAACCTCCCTCGGAGTCCGGGACCAGCTGTTTCCAGTCGGAGAGCTCGCCTGGAGTTAACTCCTGCCCGCTCCGGCCCTTCCTGCGAAGTGTTTCTGATTTCTTGGTCTTTTGGTGTTTGTTGGAGGGAGGAGGAGGTGATTCTGTCTGTGCGTGATGGAGTCTAGGCTCGGTGTGTGGTCCTGCAGGTCTCCAAGACACGTTTTATTGCTTTCTGGCTTGATATTAGAACTTGGACCTTTTCACTTTCTGGGTAAATCTTTTTAAAAAAGGAAAATAAACGTCACGTCACTTAACTGTATATAGCCTGAAACCTTAGGTTGTGATTGTAAGAAGAAAACAAGGTTAGAAGTTGCCGGTAGATTTCTTCCTGCCCTTGAGAGAAAGGTAAGAGCTACACTTTCTCATTTTGCTGCGAGTGATGGGGCAACCATTTTTAATTGTACTCAGCCAGTTTTGTTTTATTTTTAAACTGTTTTCTTAAATGCATTCTTCTCCCACTCCGACTCTGTTATCCTGCTTATCGGTGTCTGGGAGAGTGGAGGATGTTAGAATTTTTGAAAATTGAAATACACGGATGAAAACACCTAAGTTTGACATTCTCTATCAGCGTTCTAGCTAGAGTGTACAGTTCCTAAGAATTGGATCTCTCAGCCCTAGAATGCCTGTTGAAGAGGAAGTAATCGAGGAGGTGGTGGTGATCTAGTGGTGATGAGATTTATTGTCCTTTGACATCGGGGACATTCTTTGCTGAGCCTGTTTCCTCACCTGTTTCTTCCTAAGACTAAACTAAAAGGCAGAAGTGCCAGGCTCATGGGAAGTGCCCAACAGATATTAATCACTACCCTTCACAATTTTTCTTGAAGGGCCCCTTTCTCTTCACCTTGTTCCCAGCTTGTCACAGGTGAGGTTTTTTTCCCCTCCATTTCTAACGGCTGCACACAGCATTTCACCATCAGGGCATTTTTTAACTTTGCATTCATACCTAGCTCAAAGATCCACTTATTTAGGAAGCCATTTTAGTTTTAAACATAAATGCTTTTCATCATTTTGTGTTGTGTTTTCCATTGCGGCTTCAGTACTTCATGGCCAGACGTATTTACAAGTTTCTTTTTCTTTTTTGAAATATATTTTTATTGATTTTTCTTAGAGAGGAAGGGAGGAGGGGAGAGAAGTAGAAACATCGAGAGAGAGAGAGAAACATTGACCTGCTGCCTCCTGCATGTCCCACTGCTGGGGATCAAGCCCACAACCCAGGCATGTGCCCTGACCCGGAATCGAACTGGGACCTCTCAGTCCACGGGATGATGCTCAAACCACACCAGCTGGGCTACAAGTTTTTTTTGTATAATATCCCTTTTTGGACATTAATAAATGTTCATTATTTCTGAGTACTGGTTTGTTTTCCTAAATACTGTAGGTTTGTGGCTGATTTTTAAAACCTTAAAGCAGTATTATGTAAATCCATCTCCCAAACCCCAATTTTGGTCTTTCTATCAGGTTAAAAAAAATGTGCCATATAGCCCTGGACTTTTTGGCTCAGCGGTTAGAGCGTTGGCCTGAGGTCCAGAGAGACCCAGGTTTGGTTCCCGCTAAGGGCACGTACCTCAGTTGCAGTTTGTTCTGGGCCCTGGTTGGGTCGTGTGGGTGGCAGCCACTCAGTGTGTCCCTTTCATGTCGATGTTTCTCTCTCTCTTCCTCTCTCTCCCTCCCACTCTGTCTGAACAAAAAATGGAAAAATGTCCTCGGGTGAGGATTAAAAAAAAAAATGCACCATGTAGTATCTATAGTCATTCTTCCACTAGAATTTAAATTTTTTTGTTGTTGTTGTTCAGATAGAGCGGGAGGGAGAGAGAGGAAGAGAGAGAGAGAAACATCGATGTGAAGGGACACATCGAGTGGCTGCCACCCGCACGACCAACCAGGGCCGGGGACAAACTGCAACCGAGGTACGTGCCCTTAGCGGAAACCGAACCCAGGTCTCTCTGTACCGCAGGCCGACGCTCCAACCGCTGAGCCAAACCGGCCAGGGCTAGAATTTAAATTTTGAAGTAGCTTCTCTAGTAGTAGATGTGCACGAAATTCCAAATTAGGAAAAGGTTTGACTTCCCATCCTATTTTAACTATTAGTAATTATTGCCAATATTTGGGCTTTCTCTTCCCAAATAGGAAATCACTGTGAACTTCTGGCTTTGTGTTATGAAGTGAGCATTAAGAAGATGAGAAAAGCCCTGGTCAGTTTGGCTCAGTTGGTTGTCCCGTACACCAAAAGGTGGCAGGTTTAATTCCCGGTCAGGGTACATAACCAGGTTGCTGGTTTGATCCCCAGTTTCGGTGCGTGTGAGAGGCAACCAATTGATGTTTCTCTCACATCAGTGTTTTTCTCTCTCTCTTCCTCCCTTCCTCCTTTTCTCTCTCTAAGATCAATTAAAATTTTTTTTTAAAAAAGAGAGAGAGAAGAGAAAATGTTAGGAGATCATTTTTGCAAAGGGCGCATTAGTTGGCGTTCAGAAGTGAGCTACCTGCAGGGGGAAAACTGCAAGCTGGCACACTGGCCTTCGCCTCAACCTTCTGTTATCCAAACAAGCTCCCACAGGTTGTTCTTGAAAT